ACCCGGTTTCTAATTGGGCCTATGCGTGATTTGTCAAAGATGAGTTCAATCTCCCTAGTTAGGTTCAGCTTACTTCACTTCAACTAACCCATCCCCGGATCATTGACATGGTTCACCAGCCTGTCATAACTTCCTTCTTTCCCAACCTTCTTTTTCTAGCCTTCTAGGTAGAAGAACTACCAATAAAAAACAAAAGAAAAAACAAATACGAAATAAAAGGAAAACTAAAAAAAGAAGAAAAGTCTAAATTAAATAAAACCAAAAAAAAACAAAGTAAAAAGAAAACAAGAAGATAAAGGCTAAAAAAAAGATGCCCATGACAACACTATTATTGCCTGTATTAGGCTATAAAAATTATATAATGTTGTATAGAAAAAAAAACTAATCTAATACTAAAAGAAGTGGAAAGAAAAAAAAAAATCTAATATTAAGAAATTTCTACATGTAATTCCTTTGATCCCTATACTGTAAACAGTATCACCATCATTGTTTATTTGGCAAAGCAGAATCCAAATAAGCTCATGGGAGGTTTCATTTTAGTAAACACATTCTAATTTGGAAGAAGTAAACACTGCCGATCTTTTGGAGGATTTCTTCACTTTTTGGCCAAAATTTCTAAAAAAATTCCAAATCTGCAAAAATATGTTTGTAGATATATGGTTGCAGATACTTCTAAAATTTCTAAAGAGTGTGTTGGACCACTAGAACTTTGTTGTTTCCCCTGTGTTCTTCTTTGAAGTAACAGCCAACTTGCTTCATCAATGAAAATGAGTGAGTTCACTACTGCACTTCACCAAGATTTTTTATACAAGAGCACTACCTGCCAGTTATTTTGTATAATAATACTTCTGGCTTGCATGCTGAACATTTACTTTAGAGGAGTCCCTTAGAAAAGCAGTTAACCTCTAGACAAACCGCAAGAAAGCCATGTCTCTTTAACAAAAGTACTGGTTTCTGTTTGTTAAATTTTAGGTACAAGTGATTGTCAGGAAGAGTTTTTTTGTATAATAATAGAATTAGATAAAAATTTTTTTAATTGATCATCTAATCTTTTATATATTTGATAATATATTAGATGATGATTTTACTACACCATGATCATAGTTGCATAATAATATTGATATAGATCATGCATTGATAAATAATATAAAATTTGTTCACCAGGCAAATGATCAGCTGACATGTGCCGCTTTATGGCATGTGTCAGCCAATCATTTGCCTAGTTGAACAAAATTTACGTTATTTATCAATGCATAACCAATATCTTATACTTATCTATATTCTACCTGTTAACAATATTATTTATACTAATTCATAACAAAATTCAAAGTTCTCATTTTTTATTTTTATTTAAAAATAATATAAGTTATTAAGATACAAAAATCATTAAAAAAAGATATACCATATAGAAAACATAAAGTTTTCAAATCAGCCCAAACTCAATATCTGGGCAATAAATATTGATATACCATAATTCATATATACTTTAATGTACTTATGTTATTTTACAAAAGCAAATAGGTTCCATTAACATATATGAAACTACTAGACACAATAGCTTGGTGTGAGGATGTAAATATAAATATATGTTCTTTGAAGCTTAAGATTAGAAAGGTTTGTATATTATTATATGAGTTTTAGAATCTGCAATTATGTTATTATTATTATTTTTAAATTCTCCATGATACATGATTGCATCTGGGGCACAAGCAGTGTTGGAAATCTGTTTTGAGATTTATATTCTTATAAGAACATATTTATTTGATTTAGTGTTCTCAAAATTTTATTTATGTTCTCAACATTTAATCTCTAAAATTATTGATATCCCTATTTTCGGAAATTATCAGACATTAGTTCTACTTTTTATCCCAACCCTTCTCGTATTTTATATTCATTCATTTTCCCTTCGGGTAAATTCGTAATTCTATTTCCATCTGGAATTTTCTATTATACTTAGAGAACATGCTTTTTCAGCAACATGTTCTCAAATTATTTTTCATAGAGAACATATATAGAATATCAAATGTTCTCAAATCTAAAAGAATGTTCTCATGAGAACATGAGAACATAAGATTTCCAACACTGGGCACAAGTAGTGCTCTTTTATTTCAATGTCTTAATTATTACGGAAAATCATAAGTTATACACTTTGAAGCTATATACATCACCTGGAGCTGCCCTTCAGGTGTTCCCTAGCCCTCCAGTGCCATGTGCCTACTAAGTCTACTACTTTTATAGTATTCCAGATCTCTAGCTCCATGGTGTAGAACCCTGACTCCGCAGCAGTCTGCAGTTCCTTATCAACACAGCCTCATTAATTTCCTATTTGTCCTATATTTCGGTTATATAATCTCTTCTAATTTCAGTACTTTATCTTGTATACTCTTCATTCATCAGCAAACCCCTCTGCATTTGTGTTTTCAGAACTTAGCACCTAAGCCACTTTCTGTATACCTTTTTGTATTCATTGGTATTTCTTTTGCAGCTACACCACTTGATGTTACTGGACATCTATTCAGAAAGCAGGTGCCTTCTGCAGAGAACTCAAGGTTCTTTTCCTTCTTTAGGTTAGTACTACTATCTATGGTTTTAATTTGGAGGTTCCTTATATTAACGATGTTTTTTATCAGATTTCTTTCCTATTCTGGATAATGCATGACCAATGGCTATGTTTCACATTTTTTTATTATCAAATGTGATCCTAACAGAAGTTAATTCCCCCTGTAGGTTTAAAATTGCAATTTTGTGTTTTGGGACCTGGGAGTGCTAACTATTGAACTATCAACCCACAGATCACATTGTCCTTTTTTTTTAGATCTTGTAATTTTTTTTCACACTATCCATTTTAGTGTAAAAAGAAAAGTTCCAGTGAGGATCGATATAGAGTTAATTAGTATAAAAATGTTAAAAAGCTAGGATTCAATCATCTGCTATGTTTCAGAAGTACTTGACATGATTATGGCATGATTCTCCGAAGGTTACTTCTCTGCCAACTTATTCCCATGACACCATAATGTCAACATGCTATTTTATCTACAGCACACTTTTAAAGGTATGATATATATTCGACATTACATTTTTTCAACAATACTTTCTTAGACAAGACATTTCCCTGACAATTATTTCTCCGACATATAATTTTAACCAATTTTATGTTGAGGAAATGATTGTCGGGGAAATATATTGTCTACGAAAAGGATTGTTGAAAAAATGTGCTTTTGATGAAATAGCATGTCGGCATTATGGTGTCGGGGAAATGAGTTGGCGGGAAGGCAAAAATAGAATCTGTTTATGATCATGTGATGAAGATCATGCAAAGTTTAATGAAAAGATTGGATGAAATCGATGAGCGAAGATATTCTAGTAACTACCTATCTAAAATCGATAAATTTTTTATTTAAATTATATGAATCCATAAAATTAAAATAAAAAAAGTTCGCCGATTTTAGACAGATATTTATCAAGTTATCCTTGTTCAAAGTTTGTAAAAACAATCTTTGTTTTGATTGTCGTCTAAACTTTCTTTGAACTTTGAATGAGGATAACTCAATAATTATATGATAAATTTTTTTTTATTTTAATTTTTAAGGATTCATAAAAATTGAAATAAAAAAAAATTCATTGGTTTAATTAGATACTTTTAGAGTTATCCTTTGTTTTGATAATCATCCAAATTTTCCTTTGACTTTGAACGATATTTACCTATTAAAAACCGATGAAATATTTTTTTATTTAAATTATATGAATCCATAGTATTAAAATAAAATAAAAAAAAATTATCGATTTTTGATATATAGTTATCGAGTTATCCTTGTTCAAAGCTTAAGAAAATTTGGATAAGCATTAAACGAGACTGCGGGTAAGTTTTTACAAGAACAAGGATAACTTGATAAATATCCGTCTAAAATCGATGAAAATTTTTTTATTAAAATCTATGAATCAATAGAACAAAATAAAGAAGTTTTATCGATTTTTGATATATAGCTATTGAGTTATCCTCGTTCAAAGAAAATTTAGATGATTATCAAAACAAAGACCGTGGTTAAGTTTCCCAAACTTTGAACAAGGGTAACTCGATAAATATCTGTCTATGATCGATAAAATTTTTTTATTATAATTCTATGAATTCATATAGTTTAAATAAATAAAGTTTTGACGATTTTAGATAGGTAGTTACTAAGTTATAGTCGCTCAAAAACATACCTAAGTTATAGTATAATTATATTATTGATCATTTAATTTCACATGGTTTTAGTCATGTGATCATAAACCGGGTACAGATTCTATTTTCGCGTTACGACCGGTGGGAGAGCCTTGAACCAATTTAGCTTTCGATCGTGATTAAGGTTAACTGGTTTAAATCAATAAACTAACACACATAATTACAGGTTATAGGGTTTCTCTTTATTAATATAAATCAATACATCGGATGATTACAATTATACTAAATACTGTTAACAATCGTTCAACAAACTTTATTCCATTTGTGGACTGAAACCACACCCTTATATATTCTTAAATTTAGCATGGAGTCTTAAACTCCCTCGGGGAATCTTTTCCTCCCTTGGGACGCTTTTACTCTCTCCGGCTCCAATACGCCGCGATAATCATTTCCCCATACTATACCCAATTGATATAAATAATAAAAGATTAAATAAAGAAAAAGAAAAAAAAGGTTCCAGGCATAATACCATCCAAATAAGAAAATAATTAAATAATAGTGATAAAAATAATAAAATAATAGTGACAAAAATAATAAAATAATAGTGATAAAAATAATAAAATAATAATGATAAAAATAATAAAATACTAAATAAAAAAAAAAATAATAAAATAATAGTGATAAAAATAATAAAATAATAATGATAAAAATAATAAAATACTAAATAAAAAAAAAGAAAAAAAGATCATCTCTATAATAAATAATAAAATAATAATGATAAAAATAATAAAATACTAAATAAAAAAAAATAAAAAAAGATCATCTCTATAATAAATAATCAATCTAATGATTTTTTACTAAGTAAATTTTCAATAAATAAAAGATGTTTAAGATAATTAATCTGATGATCATTATAATTTTCAATATTTCTATCATTTATTTCTTTGACCATTAAACAATCATCAATAGAAAAGTCTTCAAGCTCTGAGATCGCAGGAATAACAATCCATTTTATTCTTCCCTCTCTTATAATTATTTTGTAGTCAGAATCATCCTTTTCAATTTTAATGTTTCTTGAATTTGTATTAGCAACTGACCGATGTGAATATGTAAGATATTGAAGTATCCCTGTCTCAAGAACATTTATGTAAACTCCTACTGAGTTTTTCATAAGTTTATCGGCCATAAACCTTACACCATGAATATGATTATTACATAACCAATGATAATCATCATCCAAAATGGTTTTATCTTTTGCATTTTTTAGTTTGTCGTGGATAATTTCTTTGATAATAAGATTACTATCAGATTTTATGTTGCCGAATAATTTTTCTTCAGAGAATTTTCCATTTATATAGTCATGATTATTAATAATCTGACGAATGTTTTCGTAAACTTCTTTAAATTCATCACTTCGTTCATGTGGTTTTTTCAGATAAAGTCTTTGAATATCTTCAATTATTTTTAATTCTTCATCATTAATATCTAGATCAACTTGTAAATAGAGCCTTTGTTCGCCTAAAAAGTCAATTACTTGTGTTGTATCCCGAATTCGTAAAAAAACAAAGTTATATAATTTTGGATTTTTAAATCTATCACCATATTTTGCAATGAGTTCAACTCTGAAATTTTTATCATTAGAAAAGAAAGAGGCAATTGAACGAGTTATAACAGTAGTAAGAATGAAGAAAAAAATGCTATTGGTTACTTTAGGCGTACAATTTCCATTATATTCAAAAAAACATTCTATTATAGAAATGAATATAACAAAAAAGAAAAGTCTTTTTCTAATAAAATGTTTTGGTTGTGGTTCACCTAATGGATTTTTAATTGTAAGACAAAATGGTTTATGTTGATAATATGATATAAGTAACCAAAAACTTGAAAAAAAATAAAAAAAATCGGTAAGGGAACTTAAAAAATCAAAATTAATAAGAGCATTTATAAATGGTAAATCCCGCTTTTCAGGATCAGGATAATTTCTATCATTATGAATTAATTCTTCGGTTAGATCAAATATAGCAATTAGAATAGAATTAAAAAAACTAATCCATATAATAAATCCCTTAAGTTTATCATAAAAATCGTGATTGAATAGACTAGATTTTAAAGATTTCAAAGGAAATATGGATATATTATGAAAACAACATACTACGTAGCAAACGAATAAAAAAGTAACTAAAAGAGCAATTGCGAAAAGTGCTATTACCCAAGCAAGTTTATCAGGATAATTATGGTCATAGGCAAAAACATAAACAGATTTGGTAAGGAAGAACCACGAAATGATAGGGACCAAAAAACATGTAAGAATTAACAAATCATCTACAATACATGTATTTTTAAAACTAAGTTTGGAGGTCACACCATAAACGGCCACATTAAAAAGTAAACCAAGAATAGCTCCAAACTCAGCGATTTGTTGGAGAATAGTAGTATTACTAGATTTATCTTGAAGTACTGTATTATCTAAATTAACATTAGTACATTCAAATTGGTGTGTAGTATTATTATATTGTGGAAAAAAGAAAATTTTTCTTTTTTGATCTTCTAAGGTACCTTCATCAATATGTTTAATCAGGGCAATAAATAAAATGATAACAACAACAACCGCTATTAAACATAGTTTTGTTATGAGAGATAAAAATGTTTTGATAGTATTCTTATACTTGTAGCGGTTGAAGAGGCCAAATATAATCAAAAAGACAATTATTAAAATTGGAATAAATAATGCCGGTAAACCAGTTATTATATCTATTATATTCATTTTATTTAAATAAAATTTAAATTCAATAAAAAATGAGTTATATCTTTCATACGTGCAGTAAGTATCTTATTTATTGGATTGCTTATGAGATGTTGAAACAAAATTTTCTATTATGTTAGAATTAATTTTATCATAAGGGTGAGAAAAAAAATTTATAACAATAATACCTATTATTAAAAAAAACCAAATCGAGTTTATACGTAATTCAAAAATAATGCGCATGGGATTTGATATCCATAACTAATCATGCTTCAGATACACCAACTACCTCAACACTCCCAAAAAGTAATATCATGCGAATAACTCGAAATTTTGTCTGGGAAACCAACTTTTATGTTCTAATTAAAAAAATATTTTTATCTTATAGTATAAGGTATTGTTACCTTAAATTTTATCTCTATTTTCGAATTAGAATTTTGTGAACATATAAATTCTGCATGTATTGTGGTAATATGGATAATATACAGAATTCACAGGATTCAATATTTGGATATTTGCTGCCCAGATCGAAGAAGCAGGGGGCCTTTTTAGATTTTCAACAGCCGCCCTACCTTATTTAGTGCATCGAGGATGTGTTGCGAATGCAAAGTAAAATTTCTAATTGGAAACTTTACTTTGTATTCGCGACGCAGGAAGATGCTCTCCTTATGCACTAAACAAGTAGATGGCTGTTAAAAATCAAAAGAGACCATTGCTGATTGGAAATGTTGACCTGCATAATGCTAGTAAATGCACATACAATTAGATATAGATTTGATCTACAATCAATTTACGCCATAGTGTTACTAACCTAAAAAAGCTTCGTTAGTTTTAGAGTGTATTGTATATTTGTTTTAACCTGACCAAATAACTGGGACACTTGACACCCGATCCGACCCAGAAAAAAAAGAACGTACGCAAAAAAAAAAAAATCCAGGTACGTACGTACAATTATCCCTTATAAAGACAAAAAAATAAAAAAAATAACATTGAAATTCTAAATCATTAACATTAATAAAATGTATGTGTAAATAATTTTTATTGAAACCGACAATTTAAGAAATATGTTTGGCATAATTCTAACATTAATAAAATGTATGTGTAAATAATTTTATTGAAGTCGATAATTTAAGAATTATGTTTGGCATAAACTTAACATTAATAAAATGTTATGTGTAATTAATTTTATTGAAGTCGATAATTTAAGAATTATGTTTGGCATAATCGTAACATTATAAAATGTATGTGTAAATAATTTTTATTGAAGTCGACAATTTAAAAATTATGTTTGGCATAATCTTAACCTATAAATAATCAAGTTACACATCAACATTAAATTATCGACTTCAATAAATTTAAGTAATTAATTACACTTTTTGTCTCTATAAGGTGTAATTGAGGTTTTTAGTTTCTTGCACTGTATGTACAGTACGTACGTACAGTATCAAAATGTACAGTACCTATTTAAATATAGATTATTACGAAAACTATAATAATCTATTTTTAGATAGGTGGCGACACTCATATGTAAACAGTACATGTATTAATAATAAAAAAAAAGATGTGCAAAAGGTTAGGATCACATGAAAATTTATCGTTATTGCTATTGGTAAGTTCAATGTTTTACTACAGTTTAATAAAAAGCTTTCAGACGTTGTTTAGCAATTTTTTCAAAATATTCAAAAATATTTACATACGGAAAATATTTAATTTATCACTTAATATCCTTAAAACCCTTTGAAATCATCTATAAAGACGATAATTCACTTTTTTTTTCTCCTGATAAATAGTCGTGACAGTTAGACATGGAAGAAGATAAAGAAGATATTTATATTACTTCAAAAAATCCTTCCGATAATGCTATTAATAGTTCAGATTGGAAATTAAATTTGGAAAGCTCCGGTAATATTGCTTATAATGAAATTATTCCTTCACAGGATCAAAAAAAAAAAAACTCTATGCCTCATAGATTTTAATAAAAGTATTGTTTAATACACAAACAAATGAATTATTTTAGCAACTGAAAATCAAAAAAAGCAAAATTTTGAAGAGCAAGAAAAGTCCGACTCCTCTCAAAATAATGATACTAGTATGATGGAATATTTGGGATCATTTCTTGGATGTATTCTATCGGTAAATATTTGTAATAATGTATTTATGTAACTTACTTATAAAAAGCTTTTTTCTTAACATACAAAAATAATTAGGTTAGATGTTGCTGTTATTGCTTCCCTAGTCCTTATCAAGAAGTTGAACCAGGACATGTTGGATTGCTTTATAAACATAGTATGTTAACAAATTTGTGCAATAATTTGATACATATTTTAATAACTCTTTATATTGTTCTTTGTAGATGAATATGTCAACTGTTATGTTGGTCCAAATAAGGTTAAATTGAATCTTATTACTGAAGAAATTATAAAGGTCGACATTAAGGTAATTAATTTAACAACAATCTATTAAGTATCAAAATATGTCGAGACAACCTTTTTTAATTTATGTTAACGCATTTATTAGACACATGTCACAGAGATTCTAGGACAAACTGTTATAACAAAGGTATAGGCAATTTTATGCATGGGTTCTAAATATACGTGCATAAAGTTTGCATACACATTTGCCCACCAATAGTTATTCTAGAGCCTTATCTGAATATTACCAAATCTATATATTATACCATATAGGATATGAAATTTTACCTTATTGATTCTGCCCTCCATTGGCGCATAACCAATCCTCGTAAAGCCACTTTTGATATAACTGATGTTCGCAAAGCTCTTATAGAACTGTAGGTATTAGATAAAAACTATTGTTACTGCAATACAAATAAATAAATTTACAAATTTCACTTTAATATTACAGTACTAAAAACGAATTAATGAAACACTTTGGTTCACTTAACGTTGATAATTCTTCTAAATTAAACAACAACAGTCCTGATAAACTAATCGATTTTGGTAACACTAAAACTAAATACATTAGCGATTATGCTCAAAAGTGGGGTGTCGAGGTAACTATTTTCAATATATTAAGTTATTTCAAATCATTTATCTAACTGGTATGTCATATTTTCAAGATCGAAAAAATCCTGATTCTTGATATAAAACCGAAAACCAAAAATAATTGAAATTATTATAATACAATTGCACTTTAATTTACTATGTGAAATTCATATCGATATTGTTTTCATTGATACATTTTATGTTTTGGTTTTGAAGCTCTTGTAAATATATACTAAATCAATAATTTACTTTTTTTGATATAATAATTTCTATTTCTTTCCTTTTCCAAGTTTTCTTATGTAATAAATTTTATTAATTTTTTTTATTCTTTGATTTTGTTGGATAGTTCTTCGATTCAGACACCTCTTAATCCAATTTAACAAAGATTTTTCGTGTAGGAACCAATTTTTTGATATGCAAACACATCTTTTGCTTGACTATATACCTTGATATTAATGTTTCTTCAAATTTTTTATTTTGAACTTTGAAATATTACATGTATAAAAATATAAATCATTAAATAAATATAAATTAAGGATATGTGAATCAATTGTAAGGATACAAAATAAATATAAATTAAGGATATGTGAATCAATTGTAAGGATACAAAATAAAGTGAAAAAATCTATTTTGAATAAATACAGTATAAGATGAACGAAATAATTATGAAAGTGCTTAATAATACAATATATTAATTAGTAAAATTAAAATCGGAAAATAATGTTCATAAATCATGCTCATAAATACTTATTTATGCTTATGAGTATAAAGATAATTTAAATTTTATCGGATGTTTATTTATCAGAATATTTTAAGATAGAAATTTCTAACCTTTAATAGTATTTCATCCAAATTTATTCTTAGCTGTAGGTTCAACAGTTTTGATTGTTAAATACATCACAATTTACTAGGGCTGTTATGTGGTCCGACTCAAACCGATGGACCGCCGGTCCTGTCTTTTTTGGTACGGACCGAAAGGACCGTCGGGTCCTAATATCAGTTATTATTAAATTATAGTTATAGATAATTATATAAATAAAATATAATCTGATTCTGCGATATTTGATCTGATATTAAATTTAGATCATGTACATAAATAAAATGTCCAATTATAGTCGTGAGAAAACTTTTTATTGAGTTGATATAAAGACATGCGCTAAGCAGGGAATACTTAATTACAATTACAAGTTTGGTGCTTCATATAACTATTCTGAATTTGGAAAAACTAAATTTCTTTAGCGTAAATCAGTGCATGCATAATTAAACCATATGTATAGAATACTCCAACCTCATATAGTGACTTTTTTCATTCACGATACTAATTTAGTTGGATGTTTAATTAACCAAAAAATAAAAGTCTTAAACTAAATTGTTACTCCGTTAGGCATTTTTAGAGGTTTAAACAATGATAAAAATTTAAAAATTTTAAATAAGGGTTTTCTTATTTAATCTTTAATTTATTATATACAAATTTAATATATTTAATTGGAATTGTTGTCTAGATATACTTACAGTACATGTTCATTAAAAATACACCTACAAACTTATGTACATGATTCTCAAAATTCATGCGTATTTCATCAATAATAATAATAGACAGGTTTAAATATTTGGTTAGAAGTAGCTTTTATTTAATAAATCAAGTAATAAACTAATAATTTGAATGGAGTCTATAATAATAACAGGTATAATACAATAATGTTGATGCAACTTATGTGGCATTTAATTAGTTTAATAATCGGTACGTCCAGTCTCATACTGATCGGTCCTAATCAGTCCTGGACCGCAGTCTAGTCCAACTTTTTAAAAGACCGTCGGTCTTTGGACCAAGACGGACCGGATGGACCGATTAACAGCCCTAATCCCAACATTCTTTTCCCAGCGATTAAGCGCGAGTTGTGAGCATCCCGTGTTAGAAAAGCCACCTCAAACTATTTCTCACAATATTGCTCACAGTATGCTCACAATTTACTCACAATTTACTCATAATATTTATTCGCACTAAGGGAAGCGCGTTTATTATGTAATTTCAAGAGGAGGGAGGGGTTACCAGTCCATCATGTCCATATATTATATGGGATCTTTGCTATTAAAATAACTCTCTGAGACTATGTTGATTTTGTGAATGAAATTAAATTTGTCAGCTATCTAGTAATCCAATTTGAATAAGCTTTTTTTTATTTTGTAAATCTCAATAGAAACTACAAATGAAAAAATTTTCATTCAAATTGGATAATTAGATGCCTAGCAAATTTAATTTTTATTCACAAAATCAACATAGCCTCGGAGGGTCATTTTGATAGCAAAGATCCCATATATTAAAAAAAAATAATTAGTCAAAAAACTTGAACAAGAACAAGCTTATTTATTAACTTCTATTATATATTGGTTGTTAATAGTTTTTTTGCATTTTTTAAAGTTTTTTTACCAAGAAGATATTTTATGACTGTTACAATATTTATTATATTGTTGTTTATAGTATGGAATTAAATATATAATGATAATATAAACAACATAATTGAGTTAAATTTAAAAATTTTGGTAAAAAAATCTTATTTTGTTACTTTTTAATATGACTCTACAAGTATTGTTGTATAAAAAATATAAATTTTATCATCAATTGCTAATTTTAACCGCTTTAACCGTTTAATTCGGCCGGCATTGGGATCGGTTTGGCCCATGATCAGCATAATTTGGCTCGAAACTATGGAAAAATTCTAATACGGTTAAATGGTTCACTAACCCTAAGTCACCCTCTTATTAACGTTAAATTGCGTATCTAAAAAAAGAAAAAATTTAATTAGATTGATTTTAATTTGTATAATTCATTAATAACAATAATTAGCCGTAAAGCGTAACGATAAATGGGATGATTCAGAATTAAGGATCAGGTTTCTGATTTCGAATTAAATAATGAATAGTTATTTCGAAATCAGCGGTTCAGAAATCTTATTATATAAATAAGCTCAATACTTTTTTTATTATTGTCCTTCAGAATAGAATTAACCAAATGAGGATATACTGTCAACTGTCTTCAGATAGTTAACGGCTTATTCCGAAGCCGATATCAGCTACACAATCGACTAAAGCCAATAAGCTGCAACTTAAGCTATGACTAAGCATCAGCTGCAACCGAATCGCTCTTTAAAGCCATAGCTTCAGATTAAACCATAATTATTGAAGCAACGACTTGTTTTATGGCTAGAGCATGACTTGGCCATATCTCAAGTTGTAGTAAATAATATCGATAAGCTTTGCATTAAATATTATTACGTTGCTACAGCGTTAACAGCTCTATGGTAAAAATCTTTAATGGGTTATAATTGGCCTAAAAATTCTTTGCCATATAATGTCAGGTTTTCACATAATATTTCAATTAATATGATTTAAGGTTCTCTCAAGCACATAAATTATAGGTCTAAACTCAATTTTAATTGGTGGAAAAATAGTTTAACCGGTAAGTAAGTTCATTATCTCTAAAAAAAAGTTTGAATTCATCTTTTTTTGTTCTAGACTTCAGCAAAATCATAGTAGGGATCGCTTCAATTAATCGTAGTACTTATGAATGATTTCGATAGCTATCTAATCACATTGAGCACTTTTAGTTTAAGTTTGGTGATTATTCATTTGTTTAATTGGTCTAGGTATTTAATGGGTGTTACATCTCATTTAGCTTCTTATTCACATTACACAGCACAGCTATAATCAATGAATATCAGGCGCATACTGGAGACAAGTTTCCTGATACGTACCCGGTAGTCTGCCATAGATCCGCCAAATACTCACTGTATATTTATAAATAGTTTTAATATAATAATATTAAAAAATAAAAACTTTTTTTTTTATTGAACATATTGGACATGGACATATGGGGCGTCGTCAATCAAAATGTAGCTTAGTGAGAATGATCATTTTCCGAAATTGGTACACAAAGTGATGAAAAATTATAAGAATCTCAATTTTTATCACTTTGTATAACAATTTTCGGAAAATGATCAATCTCACCAATCTACGTTTTGATTGACGACGCCCCATATGTCCAAGTATATGTCCAATGTCCAGTCCAGTCCAATAGTGCTAAAATTAAATGGATATATGTCCAATGCCAACACTACGAAAAAAGACAGGCAAGTTTTTTATACTTATCACTTTCAAAAGTTTTTTTTTTAAACAATCAAGCAATTTTTCGATGATAATTTACAATAATCGTACAAATCGTAATAAATTTTAAATTTTATAAAAAAATTTTATTAATTCCGGAAGTTTATGGAATTAAAATAAAATAAAAAATATCAAATTTGAATAGGTAATTGTTGAGAAATATTTACTTAAAAACTTAGAAAAATTAGTTTTTTATAAGTGTCCAAGGCTGTTCAAAGTTGATTCTTCAATTAACATCCCCACTGAAGTCTCCCCCCAAAAAATTAACAACCAACCAAAACGCTGGATAACTCTCGCCAATTACTTGATTTACGTCGACCAATGATTGGCACATTTTTTACATGTTCGTTTCATTTTACCCCCTCCCGCCCTCCCAAGAGTTCTAAAGGTGATAATTAACCTCGAACGGCCTAAGCTTTGAATGAGTAATATTAGACATACCTGATCAAATTCGATCAGTACTTTTTATTTTAATTCTACAAGTTTGTAAAAATAAATAAAAAAATTTAGATCAAAATTTAGGTACCCATAAAAAATATTTTTTAAAATTTTTAGTGAAGATTTCTCAATCTAATTTCGATATTTTTTATTTTATTTTAATTCTACGAAAGTTTAGAATTATGGCAGTTTGCAAAAATGTGTGACCCTGTGATTTGGTGATGATAGCGGAAATTTTCCGAGATTTTAATTCCCTATTGATCATAATTTTTGATCAATAACGAAGAATCGAAAAATCTATTAAAATCGACTAATTTCTCGTGATTTTACATGACACTAGCGTAACAGGTGGCGCGAAGTGCCACCCCACCTTCTTATTGTTGTGATATATAGTATAAATTGAAATTATCTGTAAAAAATCATGTTTTTATTATGCATTAATATAATAAATAAATTATTACAAAACTTACCACTATACTGGTGACACACATTATGTAGTTAAGGTTGTGCTAATTTATATTGGAATTAGCACAAACTCCATATACTACTGTAAAAAATACTGTTATAGAACTTGTTATTCTGTTAACACACAGAATTGGTTGAAGTTAGGTTCGTATTGAAATAATCATGATTTCTATTTTGAGTTACTATAAAAAATTCTGGTAAGTACGGGGCTTATGTGGTTGAGCAACATTGTGCACTACTCTAAGAAATTCTGTTACAGAATTGACTTAAAATTCTAGTAACATACAGTGTGTAGCTAGTTTGCATTGAAATTATTGCAATTTTTACTAAAAAATATTGTTATATAACTTATTTATTCTGTTGACATATTGTAAAGTAGAGCTGGGTATTATGGTACATCTAAGAATTGCTAATAGTAAAAAGTTTAGTAAAAAGTTTAGTAAAAAGTTTAGTAAAAAGCATATTTATTCATAATATTTATTAAAATAACATTAATTTGACCTACTTTCTAGCAAAAAAAAAAAATCTAGACTTTAAAAAAAAACTTGATAATTTAAACTTTCAAAAATCATCAAAAAAAATGTAATGCTTTGTGAGGTTGTAGTATTATGATATAATATGCATATTGATATTTAATATTGTATTGTTACTTCACTAATCTTTTCCTCAAAATTACCTAAATAAAAAAAAAGAAAAAAGCATATCAACTGCAACATGAAGTCTAATCTTCCATTAATTTTTAAATAGAATTGACTAATTTTTGAATTATTCAGTAAAATGAACCCAATAATACTAAAATTATTCAATTCTGATCAGTGAATACGTATCTAGATATTGTAAAAAATGTAAGTATACCAATAATACACCATACTATAATACCCAACTTCACATTATATGGTTAATGTTGGGTTAATTTTATCATAAGCTAGTATAAAAAAATTTATTACAGAACTTGCTTGCTATTTTGTTGACACATAGTGTATGATTAATATTAAGTTAATTTGCACTAAAATAATATAATTTTTATAATAAGCATTATAAAAAATTCTGTCACAAAGCTTGCCTTTCTAGTGACACACAATATGTGATAAGGATTAAAATTATAGTTTTTTTATGAGTTAGTATAAAAATTTATATTACAAAACTTGCTATTTCAATGGCACAATATATAATTAAAGTGTTATTGAACTTGCTATTCTGGTAATGCGGTATGCAGTTAAAGTTAGTGGTTTCTACCAAGAGTTGCTGTAAAAATTTTTACTTGCTTAGAGTTAATATCTCAATCCAGATATATTTTTTATATCTGAATTAATCCGGTTTTATCATAGTATAAATCCAGATATAAATTTAAATCCAGATTTATTTATATCCGGATATAAAAACATTATGTCACATTATATCACATGACATAGTATATATCTGGATATATAAATCCGGATAGAGGTATTAACTCTATACTTGCTATTCTAGTAACATATAGTATTAGGTTAAAGTTGAGCTAGTTTGTAATATAAGTTACTGTTAGATATTTAGTGATACACAATATATAGTTAAGGTCAAATTCGCTTGAATTGTTACTGTAAAAAATTCTGGTCAGAACTTACTTGATATCCAAGTAATGTACTTAAACTTTTATAATCATAGACTTGTTATTTTTTGTATACTAATTACATAAGCAAACAATCTTGAATTAAAAGTCAGTTAGCCAATAAAGCATGACCATAATTGCATGATAATATCGATATTGGATCATGCAATAATAAATATCATAAAATTTGCTTTGCCAATAATTGGCAGAAATATACTATCACACAACACATATAGCCAATTAATTTGTTCTGACAAAACAAATTTCATGATACAATATTTATAATCACATAACCAATATTTTATAAGTGTTTGTTAAGGTTGAGATATTTTACATTGTAAGTTACTGTAAAAAGTTTGGTATAGAACTTACTAAATTTTAATAATACAAAGTATACAATTAAGGTTGTATTAGTTTGCATTAAGATTATTATGAATTGTATTATTAGCTAATATAAAAACTTCTATTACAGAACTTACTATTTTAGTAGTACAGTATGTAGTTAAGTTTGAATTAGTTTGTATTAGAATTATCATGATTTCTATTATAAGTTACTTTAAAAATTTCATTATAAAACTTACTATTTTGGTAATACAGTATTTTATAATTATCGTGATTTTCATCATATTAATGTAAAAATTATATTACAGAACTTAAGTAAGTTTGTTTACATAGAATTATCATTTTATCTTGATTTATTATAAAAAATTCTTTGTTGGCTACTCTGGTAAGGCATAGTATATGATTAAGTTAAGTTAGTTTGAATTTGAATTATTGTAATTTTTGTTGTGAGTTATTGTAAATTTTGTTACAGCCTTATATACCATTTCAATAATATATAACTTGATACAAACCTTATTTGTTATTCAAATAACACACAGCATGTGATTTTGTGATTGTCACTCAATTATTCAAAAGTCATTTACCTGCCGACTCATTTCTCTATAACTGCAATGCCAATATGCTATTTCATCTACAGCACATTTTTTCGATAAAACATACAGTTATCCTCCTATATAATTACACAGTTGGGCACATAGTAACTTTTTTTTTAAAATGTGCTTTTAGAGAGGTTGTGCTTATATGGAGGTTTTTTTTTATAAATTAAATTATAGTTTGGCCTAAATAAAAATGTGATTATATATAATGTGATTATATGGGAGGTGACTATATGGAGAGACAACTGTATTTAAATAAGATATTCCCCAATAATTATTTATTTGATATAAAATTGGCTCAATTTAGCCTGATTTAGACTTAGAGTTGGTTATAATTATATGTCAGAAAATTAATATCAGGGAAATGTCTTGTCTAAAAAAAGAATTGAAATTGTTAAAAAAATGTAATACAAACATATCTTATCAAAAAAATATGCTGTAAATGAAATACTATGTCAGGGAAATGAGTTAGTGGATAAATAATTTTTAGGAAATCATTCTGTAACCAATTTAGTTTGTATCAAAAAATTTTGTTATAAAACTTGCTATTTTACTGATATACAGTATATAGTTAAGATTAAGTTAGTAGTATTAGAATTATTATGTTTTCTATTATGAGTTAACTGTAAAATATATATAGTTAAGATTGAGTTAGTTTACATCAAAATTATCATAATTTCTATTAAGTTACTATAAAAATTTTTTATAGAATTTACTATTCTGATAACATGCAACATGTAAAGTTAATTTGTTTGAAATTATTTTGTTTTTTATACAAAGTTTACTTGCTATCCATAAGTAGTTAAAGTTGAGTTAGTTTGCAATATAAATATCATGATTGTTTTTATAAGTTACTTAAAAAAATTTGGTACAATGACACACTGTGTGTAGGAAAGTTGGTTGCATTGGAGTTTCTGTCATGAGCTATTATAAAAAAAAATTGGGATGAATTTAACTCTCTATTTCGGTGATACACAGTATGTAATTAAGTTTGACAATAAAACTATTGTGATTTCTATTATGAGTTACTATAAAAAAGTCTTTACAGAATATTTGGTGACACAAAATATGAAATTGAGTTAGTTTGTATTAGAAATATCATGATTTCTACTATAAAAAATTGGTACACAGTATATGGTTAAGGTTATGTTGGTTTTGTATTGGAATTAATGAGTTGAGCTATGTAAAAAACTCATTATAGAACTTGCTTACATTAAAATTATTATGATTTTATCATGAGATACAGTGCTGTAAAAGCTCTGTTACATAATTTACTCACTATTTTGGCAATACACGATATGTAGTCAAAGTTGTGTTAGTTTGTATTAGAATTATAATAATTTTGATCGTGAGCTACTATAAAAATTATAATACAGATCTTACTTGTATATTTGTAACACATTACATGTGGTTATTGTTGGGTTAATTTTCCATGATTCCATTGCAAGTTACTGTCAAAAATTCCGAACCACAATACTGCAGTATAAAGTTAATGTTAAGTTAATTTGCATTGAAATTATCATGAACTTTATCATAAATTTCTGAAAAATGGTAGGTAAAAGAAATAATATAGATTCAATGTACGTATATATATACAGTCAGTAAGAATAGATTTTGACAAATTGCACTATTTTTCAAAAACGGTAAATAGGATAAATTTACCGGGTATGTGGCATCACAGTATAGGATATATACAGTGATAAATTTTTTAAATTTAAGTTAAAGATGATTAATGCTAGAAGAAAGTGGCAGTGCTATTGAATGATACAGGTTGAGAAGTCTAACTAAATAATTGTAAAATTGGATATTAATGTTATTGCCTCATATTGGCGCTTGCCTCAGATGTCAATTTTTTTTGGCCAGTATCGGTATTAACTGATCGATAGTAGTCTAAATTAATCCCTGATCTTACCCTAAACCTATCTAGGCCGATCAACATCTGAGGCAAACATTAATCTGAGGCACACATTAAATTATATTGACGATCTTACAAATTTTCGATGATCTTAAACATTCATAGAAGTTAACAGATCAGAAAGATAAACAGGGGTTAAGCCGGAAGCGATCTGGTCAAGCCCAGAAGCACATCCGCTGACCCTAATCGGTCAAGGAGATAAGCTGATCCTGCGTGAATTAACACATGAAGACAGATAAGTACAAATTATTAAGATTTCAATTAATTGCCTATTTGGTCAACTGTCCAATTGCTAAAAAATTATCCATTGTTAGGATTCGACATAAGAAGAAGCACGATCCAGAAATATCTGCATCTTCATCCGCAAAAATTAAGTTTTGCACCCGAACCCTCCCATCTCGTATAGAACCCTGCCATTTTGTGGTAACTTAAAGCTTCAATTCAAGGCCGGCCTGCTTTATGCAGTATAGAAGCCTACCGGATGATGTTACTCATCGCAATGTAGCTGATGACGATGATACTTGGCGCAATTATGTTTGCTATTTCTGGGAGCATATTCCGTCTCAGCTTACACATCAATCGCACTGATGTATGCTACAATTTCTCAATAAAAAATTGCGCAATAAAGTTTAATATTTAGCATCGTTAGCTAGGCATCCAATTTTAAATACTTATCACGTGCGTGCAATTCTTTTCGATAATAATTAATGTTGATCGAACTGATCAAAAAAAAAAAAATAGAAATCATTTCCTTCGAACTAACTACATTGAAATACGATAGTTGATGATTTGATCTACAGGTTGTGGCGAATGATGGAGGATGAAAAGATCAACGTTTGGTGATTGGTGCGAGTGCCAAATGACGAAAAGATCTACGGGGTGAAAGATCGAACTGAAAAATTGTATTATAGATTATGATGATCTGCAGATGTCACACCTTTTTGCAAACCGCTATAAAATAAAAAACTTTACTGAGTTTAATCAAGTAGTCACTGAGAAATCTTTGCTAGAATCTTGAAAATTTTCAAAAATTTTAAAGGATCTTCAATATTTTGATTATTTTGATTGAACTTTTTTAGGATACTAAAATATTGTATATCACAAAAATATAATTATTTGTCGCTCGTTTATATGTTTGATTAATATTGATCAAGCAATTGATCGGCTATAACCGGTTATAGCCGGCTATTAGTCGATAGTAATAGTAATAGTCAATAACAGCTGACCTAATCAGAGTTATTCAACATTAAACATCGTTAAATCAGACTTATATCTATCCGTCCCTGGTTTAGCGTGATAATGTCATGTAGTTATTTATTTATTAACATAAGTATTTAAAATATATTATCCAACTTCACAATTTAATCTTATTATATTCATGTAATTTAACACATGAGCATGATTAATCTAAGTATTTAAAAAAACGATAAGCTAAGTTATCGTGCAAACTCTTATGATCATAGATTTTTTTCTTCTTGTTATTTTTTGTACGTTATTACTTAAGCACAACAATCTCGAATTAAAACTCAGTTAGCCAAAAATGACTTGAAAATCATGATCATAATTGCACGATAGCATCGATATTGGATCATGCGATGATAAATATCATAAAATTTGTTCTGTCAGAGCTGAAATGTGCCGCTGTGCGGCACATGTCAGCCAACCATTTGCTCCGACAAAACAAATTTCATGATAATCGTTGCATGACCAATATCTTATACATATTCAAAACATCTCGTACTAAGTTAGACCATTAAGTCAGAACAGCGATCAAAAGTCTATGTCGATCAAATGATCAAAGAACTTCATGATTGATCATGATAATTTTGACAGAGTAATCGGGCATATCAGGTTTGATTTCAATCTCTATTTATATATAGTGATTTAGCAGCATGAAAGAGTCATGATATATTTTATAGATCAAATAGAGTGTATCTTTTATTTAATATATATATATATATAATAAAATGCTATGGCAAGCATGCCTGCATATATAAGATAAGTGTCTACTAATAAAAATATAAGGCATTTATGCCATTTCTCCCACATCAGTCTCTTATGCCCTATATGGCATAAGCGACTACTGGTGTGGCAGAAATGGCCGTAATCCCGTAATCCAAAAATTGATTATAATAATTATAACCTTTGATTGATCATAAACTTTTTTTAAAAAAAAGCTCTCTATTTCTATATTCTTTAAGTTCTAAATTAACCCGTGACTAAAAGGACTATAAGAGTACATCAGCAGGGTAACACTGGGTTGTAATCGGATCCAATCTCTAATAATGAGTTATTTTTTATCAATCCGCTTTTTTTCCAAGTAAATTTTCAACAAATATAAGATGTTTAAGATAATTAATCTGATCATCATTATGATTTCCAATATATTCATTACTTATTTCTTCGACCATTAAAGAATTATCAATAGAATAGTCTTCAACCTCTGAGATCGCAGGAATTATAATCCATTTTATTCTTCCCTCTCTTATAATTATTTTGTATTCAGAATCATCTTTTTTAATTTTAATGTTTCTTGAATTTGTATTAACAACTGACCGATGTGAATACGTAAGATATTGAAATATTCCAGTCTCGAGAACATTTATATGAACTCCCACTGTGTTTTCTATAAGTTTCTCGGCTATAAATTTTGTACCTAGAATATGATTATTACATAACCAATGAAAACCATCATCCAAAACGATTTTATCTTTCGCCTTCATTAGTTTGTTACGGATAATTTCTTTGATAATAAGACTACTATCAGATCCTATGTCTTTACCGAATAATTTCTCTTCATTGAATTCTCCATTTATACATTCTTGATTACTAATAATCTGACGAATCTTTTCGTAAACTTTTTTAAATTCTTCACTCCGTTCAGTTGGTTTTTTCAGATAAATTCTTTGAATATCTTCAATTATTTTTAATTCTTCTTCATTGGTATCTAGATCAACTTGTAAATAGAGCCTTTGTTGGCCAAAAAGTTAATTAATTGTTGTACATCCTGAATTCGTAAAAAAACAAAGTTATATAGTTTTGGATTTTTAAATTTATCGCCATATTTTGCAATGAACTCAACTTTGAAATTTTTATCTGTAGAAAAAAAAGATGAAACTGAACGAGTTATAACAGTAGTAATAATGAAGTAAAAAGCGGCATTGGTTACTTTAGTAGTACAATCTCCATTATATTCAAAAAAACATTCTATTATAGAAATGAATATAACAAAAAAGAAAAGTCTTTTTCTAATAAAATGGGTTGGTTGTGGTTCACCTAATGGATTTTTAATTTTATAAAATGGTTGATAATAAGATATAAGTAACCAAAAACTTGATAATATATATATAAAATCGGCAAGCAAACTTAAAAAATCAATATTAATAAGAGCATTTATAAATGGTAAATCCCGCTTTTCAGGATCAGGATAATTTCTATCATTATGAATTAAATCTTCGGTTATATCAGAAATAGTAATTAGAATAGAATTAAAAAAACAAATCCATATAATAAATCCCTTTAAATAATTATAAAAACTGTGATTGAATAGACTAGATTTAAAATATTTCAAAGGAAATATGGATATATTATGAAAACAACATACTACGTAGCAAACGAATAAAAAAGTAACTAAAAGAGCAATTGCGAAAAGTAATACCCAAGCAAGTGCATCAGGATAATTATGGTTATAGCCAAAAACATAAACAGTTTTAGTAATGAAGAACCACGAAATGATAGGGACCAAAAGACATGTAAGAATTAACAAATCATCTACAATACATGTATTTCTAAAATTAAATTTGGAGGTTATACCATAAATGGCCACAGTAAAAAGTAATCCAAAAATAGCTGCAATTTGTTCGGCAATAGTAATATTACTAGATTTATCTTGAAGTACTGTATTGTCTATTTTAACTTTAGTACATTCAAATTGGTGTGTAGAATCATTATATTGTGGAAATTGTGGAAAAAAGAAAATTTGATCTTGCTCTTTTTGACTTTCTAAAGTACCTTCATGAATATTTTTAATCCGGGTAATAAATAAAATAATAGAAAGAACAAGCAGAATTAAACATAATTTTGTTATGAAAGATAAAAATGTTTTGATTGTATCCTTATACTTATAGCGGTTGAAGAGGCCAAATATAATTAAAAAGATAATTATAAAAATTGGAATAGATAATGTCGGTAAATCAGTTATTATATTCATTTTATTGAAATAAAATTTAAATCAATAAAAAATGAGTTATATCATTCATACGTGCAGCAAGTATCTTATTTATTGGTTTCTTATAAGATGTTTAATCAAAATTTTCTATTATGCTAGAATTAGTTTTATCAACAATAAGGATGAGAAAAAAAAACCTATAACAATAATACCGAGAATACCCTATTAAAGGACCTAAATCGAGTTATAATATGCTCATACAGTAAATTCCAAAATCATGCGCTAGTCGTGCCTCAGTTCTGCGTAACCAATTAAAATTGCAATATCATGCGAGTAACTCGAAATTTTATCTGGGAACCCAACTTTTATGTTCTAATTTAAAAAAAATTTTATCTGACAATATAAGGTATTGTTACTTTAAATTTTATCTCTGTTTTCGAATTAGAATTTTGAAAACCTTCCTGTGTTACGAATGCAAAGTAAAATTCCTAATTAGAAACTTTACTTTGTATTCACGATGCAAGAAGATGCTCTCTTTATGTAAACTCGACGTACCCTCGATGCACTAAATAATGTAGAGCAGCTTACAGTACCCGGTGTGACACGATTTTTTACATAGTGAAAAATTAAAGATCACGTGCAATGCTCAATTGTTTACATCACATGTCATATATAAATAATAATTTAAAAAATTGATCTGCGTTATTTGTCACGCCGGGTACTGTAAGCAGTGGCGGCATATTTCGAAATCAGCGGTTCAGAAATCTTATTATTTTGATTTGTAAATTTATTTATATAATAACTTTTATGATCGTGAATTTTCTTTCGAGACTTGAAATATATTTTAAAATGCCTTATATTTCTGATCGACAATTACATATTAAAAACATAATAGACTAATAATAATCTCAAAAACAATTGAATTTTTTAGGAGGCATCTTAAATAACAGGAGGAACGTTGTTGTTACACGACTGATTTTACACACGGTGTGAAGCACATAAAAAAATGATTTTACAATACTTGATCGGACTTGATCAGTCAACTAGTACATGTTACGATTACAATATATCAACGGAGGTTTAAAATTTTATATTACAGATCTGGAACTATTTAGAAAGAATGATTATTTGAATTTTAAAAAAATCTATGATGTAATACCCTATATTGCTCCAGAGAACTTAAACGGAAAATTTCGCAAGATGGCAGCAGATTTTTATAGTTTTGGTGTAATTATGGCCGAAATGTCAACAACTAAAGGCAAGTTTTTTTCTTTTACACTTACATAAAGTCATTTAAAAGTCATTTGAGAAACTGATTCTTTGCACATATCAGTTAAACGATTATATAAGATGCTAACTCAAGGTCAAGAATTACTAAGCCAAGAATTACTGGGCTATCCCAGTTATTCTGATTTCACCGACTTTAAGAAAATTGGTGAAGGAAGGTCGGGAATCATAAATAACGTATTTTGGAATGATGGTGACAAATTTTTGGTTCTAAAGCTCCTAAAAGATAATAAGTCTTTTAATCAGATAATTAGAGAGGTATTATATAATTATAAATCGTAGTATAAAATTTTATAATTTTTGATTATTACAGCAAGATCACGAAATTAGTGAGATCTTACAATTGTTTTTCAGGTCAATAAAACCAAAGGGAAAAATTTGGAAAATAAATACTATTGATCTTATCCCATAAGATGAATAGTAAACTCATTGAATAAACCCGTTATTACATACTAAGTAATCAATAACTGCTGTATTTTATGTTCTCTTCTGATCGTTCGGTAGCCCGGCCAGTATGGCTGGGTTACCAAATTTTCCATAAAATACAGTAGTTATTCCATACTTTGCATGCAATAATTATACACCATTCATTAGTTGTGAATAAAGGTGTTATTATCATGTTTTATTAATTTTGGCGAAGACTATTTACATATTGACAGGAAAATAATCAAAATTATATCATTTTATACTATTGTGCCGTTGCCTTCAAATATAAACCTTTTTTTAATCTCAAAAGGCTGCCACCCTTTAGCTAAAGCTGAAACTCTTAAGTTTATATATATTCAAAATTTAAAGAAAATCAACAGAGTAGTAGCAGCCTTTTGAATTTGGATTTAAATTCAACAATGTCATGATTAAAATGGAAAAAAAAAACCAATAATAAATAAATTTTGCATACTTTAGGTTAAAGTTCTTCGAAGTTTAAAAAATATTAGTTTTCACCAAAATATAATAGAATTATTAGGAGTAACTAAAGGCAAAATTTTTTTTTACACTTTCATGAAGTCCTTTGTGAGCAAAATCGGCTAAACTGATACTATTGTTTTAAAAATTAATAGACTCCTCAACGATGAAGTATTACATAGTAATGGAATACGCTGATGGAAATTGGAATAATATTATTCAAAGAGATTTAGTATGTAATTTATATCCTGTTAAGTATACGAATAACGGTAACTTGACAAATGAGCACGTGCCGCAAAGCGGCACGTGTAGCCAATCATTTGTCGAATTACCGTATTCGACAATTTGCCCAACATTGGTGTGTTATCCGGCAATTTATGATCATGATTGGTAGGGAGTTGCTCGCTGAGTTTTTTTTTTGAATACTGGAATAAACATAATTATAACACATGAAAAAAATAACAAAAAGAAATTTTTTCATGATCATATGAGTTTGCCGGATAACTCATGAATAATGATCCTTTAAATAGCGAATATTTGAGATTAATAGGTATTCACAATATTTTGTAGCATACGAAAAATATATTAATACATGAACAATCTGCTAAAATTTCGGACTTTGAGCACTCCATAATATTGGATTCAGTGACATCTATAAATTTAAACCAAAATGATTATGGAATGCCAGCATTTACTGAACCGCGACTTCTAAATAATTGTTCGTTCAGACTCGACAAGAAATCAGATATATATAGTATTGGTGTAATCTTTTGGGAAATTTCGAGCGGCCAAATCCCTTTTAAATATGCGAAAGGGCCCGACGATATAATTCTTTGTATAATTTTAGGAAAAAGAGAAACATCTGTAAAAGATACACCTTCTGAATATGTTGAACTTTATAAGAAATGCTGGAATGAAGATCCTGAAAAACGACTGGATTCCAGTTATCTTTCTCTGTTTTTCAATAAACCCAACCAGTCAGGAACAACTGAACCGCGACATCTAAATGATTGTTCGTACAGACTTGACATGAATTCAGATATATATAGCATCGATGTAATCCTTTGTGAAATTTCGAAAAGTCAAATACCTTTTAAATTTGCGAAAGGACCCGACAACATAATCCTTCATGTACTTCGAGGAGAAAGAGAAACATCTGTAAAAGATACACCATTTGAATATGTTGAACTTTATAAGCACTATTGGGATGAAGGTCCTGCAAAACGACCTAATTTCGAAAACACATTTAAAGTTATACAAATTTTAAAAAAGATTAATTTTCACCAAAATACAATTAAAAGCAAGTATTTTCTTACACTTTCATGAAATCGTTCGTGGGCAAATTGGCTAAACTAACATTATTATTTAAAAACTTAATAGACTCAACGATGAAGTTTTGCATAGTAGCTGATGGTGGAAATTTACGTGAACATCTAAAAAAACACTTTAGTCAATTAAATTGGAAAGGTAAATTGCATATTGCCGAAAATATAGCATGTGGCCTCAATTTCTTACACAAGCATAAAATTATTTATAGAGATTTAGTATGTAATTTATATCTTATTAACTCATGAATAATGATTCTTTAAATAGCGTATATTTGAGATTAGTAGGTATTCATAACATTTTGTAGCATACGAAAAATATATTAATTCATGAAGGAGGTAATGCATTAGCAGATGTTCGCTGGCAGAAAAGAAATCATTTAATTAAAAGTTGCATAAAGATTGCCGAAGACAGAAAGAAAGATGCTATAGTTACGGTGCAAAATTCAACTGCACTAGAAAAGTGCGCATCCAATCAAAGGAATAACAGGTCTTTTGGAGGTTGCGAGCCTATTTGTATAGAATTCGACGTTCCCCTTACAGAAGTTGTAACTACAGTAAAGAAAGGTACACAAAATAAATCATTAAAATCGTATCCATGGTGGAAAGCAGCACTTATTATTAGTTATCTTAAAGTTGCTATATCACATCATAAAAGAAGATGGAAAAATGAATATAACAAAGCTCTCGAATACCGTTCTAAGCAAATTAGAGATGCTGTTGCTAAAAGAAAATCGGTAGATCCCGTTGATAAATATTCTGATAATATTACTAAAAAAGTTGAAAAGGATGAGGTAATTATTATTAAAGTAATTAATTTTGATTTTTACACCCTACTAACATAATAAATGAATTATATAGCTTAACGAAGAATTCACGATAGTTCATGAGAATCCTTGGCCATCCCCATGCTCTCTTCAGATGGAACTTGAGGCCTCATTTGCCTTAGCAAATAAACTATTAAAAAAACTCCCATATAAACTTACGTTATCACTCGTAGAAATACTTGCTCCACGTGAACAAAAGAAAAACAAACAAAAACTATCACGGCCACAAAATAGATTCATTTTATCCCTAAAGGAATACATTGCATACACAAAAAAATGGGATTCTGTTCGGACAAAATCAATTAATACACATAAAACTTCAAAGGAGGCAAAAAAACATTGCTATCTCAAATTAAACGATTGTATATCATTTTAGCGAATATCATCGATAAAAGACATAAATTGATGTATCCTGATTATGCTTATAAACCTCAAAAAAAGGAAGGTAAACAAACGTCTTCTGAAGAACAACCGGTTTTTGATGAACAAACGTCTTATGAGGAAAATATCTCTTCGAATCACGTTAACGAGAGATTAGGACGATTGTTTATCATTTTGGCGAAAATCACCGATAGAAGACATAAATTGATGTATCCCGATTATGCTTATAAACTTCATAAAAAGAAACAAACGTCTTCCGAAGAACAAATAGTTTTTTATGAACAACCGTTTTATGAGGAAAGTAACCTTTCGAATCACGTTAGCGAGAGATTAGAACGATTGTTTATCATTTTGGCGAAAATCACCGATAAAAGACATAAATTGATGTATCTAGATTATGCTTATAAACTTCAAAAAAAGGAAGGTAAACAAACGACTTCCGGAGAACAAACTTCTAAAGAACAACCGGTTTTTGATGAACAAACGTCTTATGAGGAAAATATCTCTTCGAATTACGTTAATGAGAGATTAGGACGATTGTTTATCATTTTGGCGAAAATCACCGATAAAAGACATAAATTGATGTATCCCGATTATGCTTATAAACTTCAAAAAAGAAACAAACGTCTTCCGAAGAACAAACTTCTGAAGAACAACTGGCTTTTGATGAACAAACGTCTTTTGAGGAAAATATCTCTTCGAATCACGTTAAGATTAGAACGATTATTTATCATTTTAGCGAAAATCACACATAAATTGATGTATTCAGATTATGCTTATAACCCTCAAAAAAAGGAAAGTAAACAAACGTCTTCCGAAGAACAAACTTCCGAAGAATTAACGGCTTTTGAAGAACAAGCAGCTATTAATGAACAAACGTCTTATGAAGGAAATATCTCTTCGAATCACGTTAACAAAAGATTAGAACGATTGTCTATCATTTTAGCAAAAATCACCGATAAAAGACATAAATTGGTGTATCCAGATTATGCTTATAAACCTCAAAAAAAGGAAGTTAAACAAACGTCCTCTGAAGTACAAATGTCTTCCGAGGAGCAAACTTCTTCTGAAGAACAAATGGCTTTTGATGAACAAACGTCTTGTAAGGAAAATCTCTCTTCGAATCACGTTAACGAACGATTGTTTATCTTAGCGAAAATCGCCGATAAAAGACATAAATTGATGTATCCAGATTATGCTTATAAACCTCAAAAAAAGGAAGGTAAACAAACGTCCTCTGAAATACAAACGTCTTCCGAGGAACAAACTTCTTCTGAAGAACAAATGGCTTTTGATGAACAAACGTCTTGTAAGGAAAATTTCTCTTCGAATCACGTTAACGAACGATTGTTTATCATCTTAGCGAAAATCGCCGATAAAAGACATAAATTGATGTATCCAGATTATGTTTATAAACCTCAAAAAAAGGAAGGTAAACAAATGTCTTCCGAAGAACAAGCTTTTTATCAAGAATAAATGGCTTTTGATAAACAAATGTCTTTTAAGGAAAGTATCTCTTTGAATCACGATTAGAATTTGAAGTATTTGGAGAAGATATTGATTACAGCAGCTACTCTCGATGAATTTAATCGAATATTGGCTATTATAAAAACGTAAATTATGGCAATCAATCGTTTTGATTGCATTTACGAATTTAATTTTATTCGAGCATAAAAAGCTTCGTTCGTTTTTGTTCATTAGCATGTTTCGTTTATTGTTGGTAGCAGACTTTTTATTTGTAGTACTGTTTTTTTTTTTATTTTTTCGTTTTTGTTCGAAAAAATGTTCCGTTCGTTTTATTTTTATTAGCATGTTTCGTTAAACGATGATACAAACTTTTATTTATTGCACCATTTTTTTTTTCTTTTTTGTCTTCTTCCTCAATTAGTTCGTTTATTATCAATTAGTGTTTCGGGCGAATTCAATATATTTCACCCAGACGAAGTTATTTATGCTATCGGACTTAAAAAAAGTGCAAATTACTATATATTTTGCAGTTTGAACCGAGAATATTTTTATTGGCGAAATATTTTGGATTTGGAAATTAATTTAGCCCAAAACACTATTATCGATTATAAAAATAAACTGGTATTATTAATATCAACATTTCGAATGATAATGATTCATTTTAAAATGCGCCAAAAAGTTTAGTAGGATTTCGGATAAAATAATAATAAAAGTTTATGAACTATCCCCAGATCGCCAGCAAATTCCACCCGCCCGTTATCAGAATCTAATCACATTTCATGATCAGATGTATAGGTGTTAGACAAAACTTCGAGGTTACACGCTGACGGAATGCGTAACCTAGCTTCGTCTTTTGTCAATTAAAATCTTAAATGACGAAACTGACGAAAGACGAATATACAAATAAATGTTGAAGATTATGAGCATAATAAAATAAACTAACGAAAACAGGAATTTATAAAAATTACAAAATTTTTTATTATTTAAAGGGAGTAGAATTGAGTATTCTATGTTGTATTATACTAGTACACTGCATATTAGTTCTAGTGAGAAATCGCTTGGTGCTTTCTTTGTGATCTTACAAATTTATTTTGTGCAGTATGTTTTAATTGTTATTCCATGAGTACTATGGCTTTTAAAAGGTTATTTCAACCGGTTTATAACAACCCTAGTGTTATGTAATTTCGGATATTATCTTTGAATAAATTCTAAATATTAATTCAATGAAAATAACATTTATGTTTTTTTTTTTCGTTTTTTTTTAGAAAGAACACTAGGATTTCGTCATTTTAAGTTTAAGGTTTCGCTTTCGTCAGAAGTATTTGGGGTTTCGACTTTCATCAGAGGTTTCGTCTTAGGTTTCGTCATTTGTCACCATATAAAAAAGGTTTCGTCTAACAACCAGTACTTCGGCCTTGTAAGAAATTTTATCCTGAATTTTTTCCATTATTTTTCCATATTTTTTGTGAAAACTTCTTGAATCTGAATGTGATCGACAGTATTTTTGTTTGTTGACAAAATTTAGATAAACCGAATAATTTCCATAACTTCTGTAAATATGCAATATTTACGGAATATAAAACACAGATCGACTTTTTTTATAGGCAGGAAAGTGGCTTCAAGAAATTGAGCAAAAATGCTTTAAAGGATAGCAATAAACTTATCAACTGCACGACAGCAATAAAGAATTTTAGATATTATTAAGTCTCAATTGGAATTTTTTTATCAAAAAGTTTTTGAAATTTTTTTTTTGAAGAAATTGGTTTATCTTGGGTTTAGCTAACAAATTCTTTTTTTTATTTTAATACAAATGTGTTAGAACTACATATAATGCATCCTGAGGTGCTATAGCATTGCATTTTACTTATCATACAAAGTTTTGTTATTTATCTATTTAAATGCTAATATTTTAATAAAGTTGCTAATATGAAATTGGTTCAATTTTCATAATTCTACAAGACTAAGATTAAGTAAACAATAAAGTAGAAAGATTGAATAAATTGTAGCAAATGCATTTTAAAAAAAATATCGTCTTTACAAATGAAAATAGTTTAGTCTCAATTTTTTTGTTTATTATCACACAATCAGAGACTTATGTTATATCATAAGAAAAAATATATATGAAAATAAAAATATCTAAAAATTTTACTGTTTCGCTATCTAATGGACATAATGAAATTTTATTATTTTAGCAAACCTCGTGTATATCTACCAAATTCTAATCTGTTTCGAACAATAAAAGAGTAATATTGCAAATCACTATAAACCCTCATTGACGTTTAATAATTATTTTACTTTGTATCTACAGTACACACTATTCGTTAAAAATTTATTCCTAGAGCACTTTAATTGCATAAAACATGAAGAGAGGTAGTTCGAGTTAATAGAATGTATAAAATAGCATTTATTGTACGCGGTAATTTAAACCATTTGTGTAGTATTAAATAATAATTTTAATAACAAATAACATAATACTGTAATAACAATGAAAAAAAAACCATTTTGTAAGTTTATAATTTAGGTAACCAATCTTTAAAAAAAAGGAATGGTACTAATTAAACTTATCCATCTAAATTTAATTCATTCAATAACTTAATAGCTTTTTCAAAATTTTGGTTAGCTGCTGATTTTAAATATTTTAAACCAAGTTCCTTATGTTCATCGTCTTTTGGCACCTTAAGCTTCCCATTAACATAAATATCACCTAAATAATACATTGCATCAACATTTTTATTGTCAGCAGCCAATTTAAAATAATGCAAAATTTCTTCATAGTATTTTTCTTTTTCATTTTCATTTTCAACAGTTTTAAGGTTAGTTAGTAATGAAACGGCGTATCGACACTGTGCATCAGCGTAATCATTATCAGCAGCTTCTCTAAAAAGCTTTCTTGCTTGCTCAAGATCTTTTTCAACAACGCCATACCCATAAGTTAAATAATAACCTTGCCAGTATTTTGCAGAAACATTGTTAAGCTCTGCATTTTGCTTAAAACTTTTCCAAGCGTTTGCATGATCTTTTGCTTTATGAAATTCGATTCCTTTTTCAAGAGGAATAAAGTCAAGTGTTAGTTTGTTCATAGTTCCATCCAAGTTTAACTCCTTATCTCCGAGTAACATTCGATCAGTGTGGGAAATTGGGAATTCTTCAGACAATTGTTGAAGTTCTCTTGTTAACGTTGCAATATCCATTCGTTGTTGTGGTGTTTGACGCCATACTACAGTATTTTATAAAATAAATAAAATTAAAAATTAAGAAAAATATAATTAAATAAAAAAAAAGTTTAAGTAATTTAGTAAATTTACCTTTATCAATAATATTAATAAATTTTTCTTGAATTACTTTATCGGTAGAGTTATCATATTTTCCGAGTAGAAGCTTTTCTCGTTTACCACTTAAAACATGATCTGATATTTGCTTAATATTCATGGTTTCATAAGGAGTTTTTTCATAACAAAGTTCCCAAATAAGCATTCCAAGACTAATTATGAAAAATTATTATTATTAAAAAAATTAGATCAATTTTTAATTTAAAAAAATTTAAAAAAAGATATTTAATTTTAAAGATAAAAACCTGAACATTTCACAGTTAAATGTATAAAATGCTTTTTTTCCAGTATTTCTATCACTAAGTTTATCAGTATATGTCTTAATCAATTCAGGTGACATCCAACGAATAACATCTGGTAAAATGCTTGATAGATTTTTAGTTTTATCTTGTATTTCGCGCGCAAACTTAAAGTTTCCAAGTTTTGGATCCAAATTATGTAAGACCTATAACATAATCTAATACGTTAACAACTTGTCATGCGTTATCCTAAATTAATATGTGTTTCACATTTTTATTTGACATTATTTAAAATGACCTTTTTGAAGCATTGATTTCTTCAGTATTTTCAGTTGGAACAAACACATAATTAAATTAGGTTTTTTAAAGATACTTACAAAAACGTTCTCGCATCTAAGATCATGATGGAAAATATTTACTCTACGTAAAAATACAATACCACGACTGATATCTCGAACGATCTGTATTTTTCTAGTCCAAGGTATATCATGATTACTATAAAGTTCTTTTAATGTTCCTTTCTCAGCCCATTCAGAGACCATAACTTCATTATTATCGACATGTGAGAGTCCATAGAATTGGAGAATGTACCTTGATTTTAATTTTTTAAGAATTGATAATTGTGTTCCTAGATTTTGTGAATCTATGGGTTTACATGCTACTTCATACTCTTCATACTCCGCTTTATAAATCTTCTTACAAACATTTCTGCGAATATTGGTTTCTTTATAGGGCGATTCGCTTAATTTGCTTGGATCAATTTTTTTTACTTGGATTTCAGTATGTAATTTTTCTTTTATCAAAAAGTCTATATTTTTAGCTATCATATCGAGTTTTTGTTCATTTCCATCAAGTTTCTTAAGAGCCTTTAAAAATAGAAAATAAATTTTATAAATAAATAATAATAATAATAAATGAATAATAAAGTTTATGTAGTATTTTTAAATAATCTTACTTCTTCAGTATTCTCTATAGCTTTATCGACTTTTTTTGCTTCCTTAATTCTTGCAATTTCACTACTCATTATCATTGTAAATTGTAAATCTTTTATGCAATTGTCATAATCTCTAGTTAATTTTTCATATTTATTTTTAACTTCTGTTGCATTAATAATTTGTTTATATCGATCGAATTTTGATACTTTACTAGTATACTCTTTGATATTTGTCAAAAGATTTTTAAACTTTTCAAAAGCTAAATAATATTCTTTTTTACGAAAATTTTCTAAAATTTCTTCGTCTTCACTTCCTTCTATATTTCTCATCATCATATTCATAGCATGATCTGCTGAACTTACGCGATTATACATAATTAAGCAAATTTCTTTATTACTTTCGGCATTTTTGTAAACTTCATGAATTTCCTTGACCATAATTCCTATTACACCAACTAATGGATTATAAAGTGCTAAAATTTCTGCTGTAGTTTCAGCAACACGAAA